ACCAGAACTCCAACGAATGCTCCAACCGCAGCTCCAACGAAATCTCCAACCAGCGCTCCCACCAACGCTCCCACCAGAACTCCAACGAAATCTCCAACCAGTGCTCCCACCAGCTCTCCCACAAGATCTCCTACCATACTTCCGACCAGAACTCCAACGAGTGCTCCCACCAGATCTCCCACCAGATCTCCCACAAGATCTCCCACCATACATCCGACCAGAACTCCAACGAGTGCTCCAACCGCAGCTCCAACGAAATCTCCATCGAAATCTGCAAAGAGATCAACCAGTCCTCCAACTAATCGTTCAGGACCCTTACGTATTAGAGGTCAAGAAAACCTAGATCAAATTAAAGGGGAAACGGGCAGTTCCGTGTTGGCTGGATACTTTGTATCAGATGGCTACACCACTGTTGAAGTAGAGACATGGGATGGGTCTTGGATCAATCGAATTGTGTTGCCAAACGGTGTCCCTGATGGTTCGAAGTTAAAAATTATATGCCGTTCCACTTGGTCAGTTGATATTAGTTACCCTGATGGTGGATGGACGAGCAATGTTAGAACGAATGAAAATCCGCTCTTTAAGGTGAATTACGGTGTCTGGAACAAAGTTAACTGATCGTCGAAATGGAAGATTTTTTCTGGTGATGCTAAAATGGAATGCCAGTCAACGAGTGCATCTCACGGTGCAAACCCTTCTTAGTCATCGAAGCGGATTTAAAATTGCCTCCCTATCTGAATTTCCCTGTCATTGTACAGCAAATCAAAGTTGTTGAGCATCCATGTTAGATGTCATTCTTGCATGCACGGCCGATGCAAGTTCATTTTGCACAATATATGCGTCTTTCAACTCACATTCTTTGGCGCTATCGGATTTCAAGATAGATGATTGCATGTACCTAAGCTTCGTGAGTCACATTTCACAAGACGTCTACTATCTGTGTTACAACGCTTTTTCTCAAGCAGATTGCAAATCGAGAATTCGAACCAGTGACAATAAGCACAGCGGCCGACCTGTAGCTGCTGGCGGATTGACACTTGGGGATGCTGACGTTGGTGGAAGACAGCATCGTGGTTAGAATCAGTTGCTTTGCATCAAGGGAGCTCCCCCAGATGGAATCATTGTTGCATCAGATCTATGTGAGGAGACCCGAAACTTTATCCATGGAACTCAGCTTCCGGAAAACAAAGCCTTGCCGCTTTGCCTCTTCTCGATGAAGACGCAATGCGTAAGGGTGGAATCTAGATGTAGTGAACCACAGAGAAAGCCTTCCCGTAAGCCTCGTGCATTTCTTCTGAGGATCGCCTTCCGACAGAGTGTCACCGTCTATGGTTTTGTAGAATCCTGTGGAGAGAGGCGCGATGGTGGCCAGGACGTAAGTGTGGTGATAAATGGATTTTCTATCTCCAGCTCTTTCGAGTGATATGGAAGGTTAATGAGGAGCATTAGTACCAAAAAAACCCCGCTTCTAAATCTCCACCTTTTGCACCGAACCTCAAGACGGCACTAATATCATTGCTTCCATTCAAACTTTCGCATCCGCCGCATCATTCGCAATAAACAAACAAATAAAAAGATTATAATTCTTCAAAGCAAAATCAATAGAACCAACAGAGGCAGTAACTCAAACAAACCATCTGAAACCGCTTATGTCGAATGCAACAAGTTCGTTTGGTTGTATTTGTTGAAACAGTGAGTATGGGATAATCGCCAGGCTCGTTCGAGAGCCGGGTGGTCGGAGGAGCTAATTCAGTGTCACAAGCAAGGAATATGCTGT